CGCTTATTTTTGTACTGAAAAGGCTACGTCCAAAATCATCTTGCACGTTGCTCATCTTACCCCATGGGCGGGGTAAGCTGAGACACGTCGTGGGGAAAGTTGAGCATGGATAGAAAAAGCGAACCTTTTCTTTTCCCAGGCGCGGCGAAGAGTGGGCTCTTTTATTTACTCCATGGCATAGATACTTATGGCAAAGTTGTTTTCCTCCATCAAAAAGTGACTGTTTTAAGCCTTTCAATAGTTCGTCAATTTTCTATCACGGAAGAAATCATTTTATCCTTCAGATAATCTGCAAATCACTTACAACTTGTGTAATCAACAAAGAAAAACAATTTGCTACCATTTTTATTCAGCAGAAACAAGCGCAGCTCAGTTTGGTTTTCGACAGCGGAGACAACAATGGCTTATCCGGCTCATCTTCCCCCAGGTGAAAATGGCTCATCTTGCCCCACCCGTGGCCATTTTCGATTAATGACACCCGCTAAGGAAAATAACCATGCACCGCAGATAACAACCATCTCATTTTAAAGGCAAAACATGTCTTAGTTATCAGGGGCGATACCACATGTTACCGGGTGCTGAGCGTGAGAACGTTGCCGTCTCACGTGAAAGACTGCAGCATCGTAAGCGAACGGCACATGGAAGCTCAAGTCAATTAGCGCCATAGGAGCTGAGAAACAAAGGGTGGCTAAACTTGCCCCTTGGCTCATCTTACCTCACTCTCCCCTATTTGGGGCTCTCAACTTTGATTTGTTAAAGTTGCTTGTCTGTTCATTATAAAAGCTGTCAAATTTGCCGTATCATTACACTTTTATTGAATTTGTATTTCACACTTATCTAAAATGAACAATTTTGTCACTGGCTTCTTTTATGAATGGAATTGGATGGTCGCATGAATGACGAATGAATAGCTCCATTTGAGCATCAGCTTAAATCAATCCTAAAATTTAATCTACCAGTCTGCAACGAAAAGGTTTAAAAACCAGTGCAAGTTAGGTGCAGTTTCTAATCTATGCCGTTTTTTTATTAAGTGTCTCATAGCTCCTTAATCTTGAGCCGCTTCTCTTACGATTCATTTTATGTGGTGCTTACATTGTTCAAGAAGTAGTATTCGAGCTCGTTGGTCTTAAAAACTGCTATCGAAGTAAATTTAAGTGTTTCGGGCTTCGGCACTTAAAAACCAATCGATATTTAACCCTCACCCACTTAGGCATTTCTTTTCAGCGTCTTATATGTAGCGGAGGGGCGTAGAAACCCTCAGCCATTCATGAATAGCCAGAGCTTCGCTGAAAAATAAAAAAGAGCGAGCTGCTCGTGACGAGAGAAATCCGATGATTTGAGGGCCCTGGTCATCGCTGACGAGAGAAAGCCAATTATTTTTTATGTCCTGGTCAATGCTGAGATCCTAGGTCACTGGTTGACCTCCCAGATCAGGTTAATAACCCAAAAGCACGGAAAATTGGGTCCTGCTAGAATTTCTACAAGTGAAGTTTGCTGGGACTTGGCTTGCTTCTGACTTCGAATTTGCACTTGCTTTGATTAAAGATGATGTATCAAAGCATTTGGGGTAGGACGGGTCACGCCAGATCACCCATTAGGCGTTCTGCCGGCTATCCATTGAATGTTAACCAGCACTTACAGCCTTGCAACATATTGCATAGGCACTATAACTGATACCTAAGTATGCCTAGTTTTCAAATGCTAAAATGAGTGCTAAATTTCAAACCAACACTTCCTAAAAACCACAGTAAAAAGGTGTAAATTTAAGGAAGTTAACCGAGATCATTTCAAGTAAATGACCTTAACCTGAGTTTCACGTGACCTTGGCACCCACAACAATCAATGAGACAAACATTAGATAGTATATTTCACATGTTGTCACGTTGCTTATCACGAAACGACTATGGAAACACACAGATGTGCGCTGACTTTCAATTGCTATTCTGGCCTGACATGATCTTGAGAAAAATAATCACAGGTGAAAGGTAATTTGGTTCAGGGATATAAAATTCTCAGACAAGATGCAAAAATTATCAGGGCTATTTAATTTTCCGGGAAGTTGTAAACTTGATTAACTCCAGGGCACCAAAGAATCGTCGCAATCCTTCGCTTTGCCGCGATTTATTGGTGAAAAACAGGGGGCGCGGTCTACCTACCTCTACTTATATGTGTGGTGAGGGCTAATATTCATTTTATCTGTGTTATTAATATGCAACAATTACTACATGAACTGAGACCAGTCCATATGGGTATGTTTTTCTCACGGACAATGACAATATAAAAACAATGCGAATAAAACCAAACGTTTCGGACAACAACGTGCCTTCGTCAGTGGAGAAAAATAAGTGTATAGGTTTAACATCGATGAGAACTATATGCGGCACCGTCTCGTTCTGGCCAGCCGGGTTGCCGATAAAATACACAAATGTTTATAAGCTTCCATGATGTGCTTAAAAAACTGCTGAAAATATATCTTTAAAAACAAAACAAAAATAACTACTTCATCGATTTTATCGAAAGAAAACATATATGCCTAATTACTTATTTCTTGCCACTGACGGAGGCACTTTTTTGTGCGAAACGTCTGTTTTATTCGTATTATTATTGTATTGTCATTCCCTGTGAGAAAAAAGGATAACTCATCAGTTAGTAACCATAACAGCGAAACGGCTTAATGTAACACAATTCACATGTGTATACGAAACCTCTAAGTCCCTAAAAATAATCCTATTTACAAATTTTAAAAAGACAGCTTAGGCACATAATTTTTTCTGCATTAAAGGAAATAGTTCACATTTTAACATGGGTTTTGAACTGGAATAGCAGTTCCGTAGCTTGGGCTGAGACGAGCATAAATCAGGAGCTTTTACAGCCCAACTGAGCCCAACGATCACCCTAGGCAAAGATATTCTATTTCTCGTCCCGAAAAATGTGTCTTGCGTTGAGGATGTGTGCCTTGCATATATTCGCATCCAGTATGAAACGAGCATGGGTCCCGAAAATTCTTCAGAAACTAGAGAAATTATCTACGAGAACTCTAGAGAAATTCGCTCCAGTGAGGCGCTCCAGTAACAAAAGCACGAGCAGATCGCCCAAATGCCGGTGGCCGCGATAATTTCTCTAGTTTCTGAAGAATTTTCGGGACCCATGCTCTTTTCATACTGGATCGCGTGTGCCTTACAGAAACTGAAAAGTTCTTCCTATATTAAAAATATAGGAAATAATCTTTTGTTGTAAAAAGGTTTTAGTTTCTTTGCTGATCATTTTGAACATAAAAATCACAAATCCATTGCAAAAAAAAAATAATTTCGTGAAAGTGAACTATTTCCTTTAAGATAATATTCATTTATCTCCACAGAATATGGTAAATTAGTGCTGCTGAAGTTCGCTTTCGAAGCGTCTCCTCCAGGAATTCCACAGCTCTCGTGCCATTTTGGATCACGGAACATGGCTGGGCGCAGGACAGGCCGTCTGCGAGCTTGGACGGACCACGTGACCACCTCCTCCCCTCCCCCTCACTCCCGTCCCCTTCCCCAGCAGGGCGTCCGATCTAACCGCGCCCCAGGCAGTCGGCTCGGTCCGACCCTCCCCTGGTCGAGCCACGGCCCGGTGCCGCCTGAGTTTGTGCCGGGTGCAAAACTGGAGCAGTAACTAGCGCCGGAACTAGTAGTCAGCACGACCATCGTCAGATGGCAGGAGTAAACGGAATAAGCGGTTCCAGGTTTCAGAAGGAATGGGGCAGGAAAAAGCGCTGAAAACAATGTGTTGCTGATATAGCCATAAAAAGTTCACTGAATTAGGAGAGCAGCATATCAGTTTAAAGCCCTTCAGATGGTGGTTTTAATAAGCACACAATCATTTCCCAATTCGCCTCCAACGGTGTCACAGGCAAAGAATACGCTGAAATACTAGTGTGTACAGAAGCAACTGCGGGTCCCTGTACCGTAACGACCCAGCTGTAGGACTCGTCTGTAAAATTGCGGACCGAGGTTGATCAGGGCCGGCCAAATGACTGCCAAACGAACGAACCTTCAGTGAACATGGTTAGGTGCGACTCGATAACTTATCTGACGTCCTCCGTTCCCTGTTTGGTGTTTCATCCATCCTCAGGGCAGACAAGTCCTCCACGCCTCTTTCCCATACTCCGAGCTAAATGGGCAACTTTATCTAATGCGGGAACGCCCGTAAGAGCACGCCCGTACCCAGGTGCGGTGAGTGCTTGGGGGGGGGGGGGGGGGGCTGGTCGGCCTCTGTCTTCTGGACGGGCTTAGCCCCGGCGACCAACCAGGGTGTTCGCCCAGACCAATGTCTCCCCCAATTCCCAGCATTCTTCCGGCCCTAAAATGGACAATAGTCTCGACTCTCTTCAGACCGAAAGGGCCTAACACAACAAAATAAAAAATAATATCTGACATAACAAGAACACGCTTATTTTCATGACGTGCTGCGGCCTGCCTGACACGAGGACTGAGCAATGAGTATGGCTTTCCGTGTTCAGGCTGTTGGGTCACAGTGTCCCAGAAGGGAAAATATATTGTCTCTTGGAACGACGAGTTCATCTACCTATGTCTTATTTTATAATATTCTATAATCTATTTTAGAAACCACCAGCCCGATGGCATCATTTTTGCGACTGTGGACGCACAGTCGCACTGACTTAGTTACGTGCTTGCTTATCGATAACTCATGTCTGATTCCATTGCACTCTGCAGTTCGAAGATATTTGGATAAAAGAAAACTCATTTACGTCATTCTTTCGGCTTTAAGTCGCTACGCGTCTCCGATCCATTGAACACACCGTTGGTAGCTTGTTCATCTGGGCTTGTTCTAGTTTGCACGCTGTATTTTCTGAACGACTACGTACTTTTTCCGGCACTCCTGTCTAAAGCATGTGATAGCCTGTTGTTTAGTACAGGCTGTGAGAGCTGTGAGTACAGTAGCTTGACCAACGGCATGTCTAATGCTGCCTTTCGCAACCGCCCTCCATAAACACCACAGGATAGGGTCTTAACCGTTCATTTCGTTTTCCCGCATCTCACATTTGTCTCCGCAAGACGCCAGTTCAACTGACATACGATCCACCTACATCCAATCAGCCAAAACGAGTCACAGTGCAGCAACATAACACGGGTAGCCTCTACTTCCGTCAGACTACGCCGTCACCAACGCTTTCAACTCACTCCTACCGCTCGCACAGTCACTGACGCCGTATATACACTCAGCTGTGCTGAGAAAGCCACCCGCATCGCAACCGCCGGCCATATTGTAAAGCTCGGGCGGCGCCGACCGCGCGACACCCGCCCCTGGCCTCTCGCGCGGGAGCGCACCGGCCCTGCCCGGGCCGCTCTAGGCCCGCCACAGCATCTTGACGGCCTCGACGACACCGACGTCGGTGTAGTTGAAGTAGAACAGGGCGCCGAGAAGGAAGGCCGACATGAAGTAGTTGGCGCCGATGGCCGCCTTCGAGAGGAACACGCCGACCCGCTTTGGCCGCGCGTAGTCGGCGAAGATGGCCTCCATGCCCCTGTCGGCACAATGACACATTACACGGCGCCCAACTACGGACGACGAACAGGCACATCGACGCAATCAATGCTATTCCAAAGACGTTATTGCACGCTACTAACCGATAAACGAGAAACGTTTGTGAATGACCCGTGAAAAGTCTCGCGCACAAAATACGTTGAGGAGCATTTGTTCGCAGAGGCTGTGCTGTTACGAAGCGAACTACGTTTTAATGTATAGCAGCCACGGCAAATAATTCATAACTGAATAAAAACACCGATAAAACCGTTCTTTCGTTACCCTTCAAATGACTTCAAAACAAAAACCTCTACATATGGAGACCACGACTGACCACTGAGAGTGCTGGAAATGAGGCCGCTTTCTGGTCCCGGCGCTTTATTCTCCGGCTGGGTTAGCCCCGTCTAGCGCTTAGCCTTTCGGGACCCACTCAGGGTCGCGGTTGTTTTCGCCACTCGGCCCATTCGAAATACAAAGTTGATAGTCACACGAAGTTTATTTGGGGCCTCTTAATATACAACTTTGAAATTAATCGATTCTACAAAACCTTTTTCTTTCATCTATATGCATACATTTAACAGTAACTCCAGACTAGGCTGGTTTGGCTGGCCCTAAATAAGCTTCGTGTGACTATTAACTTAGCATCTCGACTGGGGCGAGCGGCGAAAACAGCTGCGACCCTGAGTGGGTTCCGAAAGGCTAAACGCTGGACGCGATTAGCCCGCCCGGAGAATAAAACGCCGGGACCAGAAAGCGGCCTCATTTCCAGCACTGACTGAGACTGTCTTTACATCAGAGACAGACCACGACAGACACGTGCTACTGGGAGACACATGACCCGTCTATCCTCCGGACCCGACCGTTACCTGCACCAGTGACCAAATACTGACCAGTGGCTGCTACTAGTCCTAGGGACGCACACTGACCAGTGGCTGCTACTAGTCCTAGGGACGTCGTATACTGACCAGTGGCTGCTACTAGTCCTGGGGACACATACTGACCAGTGGCTATGGACGGCGACCGAGAGTGCCACGGCGTAGTCGAGCGCCGGGCTGGGGAAGGTGAAGGCGACCGGCAGCACGCCCAGCAGGCCGACCGTGAGCAGCCGCTCGGCGTTCCAGTGTTTGACGTGGTCCTCAGCCAGCTGGGAGGAGAGCGCCGGCCGACTGACACTGAGGGGAGCCGCCGCGCGCGCCGACAGCCACGGCGCCGTCACCTGCACCACCGACCCTGCGGGGCGAGGTGGGGAAAGGGCACCGACTCACAACACATACATCCCCAGTAGTTCACACGTTTTGTTTAGGTAGCTTCAAGATAAAACTATTACAACTATTGTGAACTGAATGGATGCATTACATAATGAAATGTAATATGCAAATAGGTACCGAAGTATTTAATAAATCGCTTGTGCTTCATTAATGCAAACTCAAAGAAGAAGTTTTAGGCAGCTTCAAGATAAAATTATTACACTACTGTTAACTGAATGGATGGATGCATTACAGAATGAAATGTAATATGAAACAGGTACTGAAGTATCTAATAAATCGCTTGTGCTTCATTATTGCAAACTCAAAGAAGATTTAGGCAGCTTCAAGATAAAACTATAACAACTATTGTTACCTGAATGGATGCATTACAATATGAAATATAATACATAAATAGGTGCTGAAGTACCGAACAAATCACTTGTGCTTCAATAATTCATTAATGCAAACTCAAAGAAAAAGATAAATATCCATAGGTTTATAAAATAAGAATACAAAGTATTAGCCTCCAACACAATATTTGCTTGTTTTGCATGGAATGCATAAAACACATACTCATATACCTAATACCACCATACAACAAACTAAACGTATTTTTAAACAACATAAGAATACTTACTTTGCAAGCAGGGCAGTCTCCTAAAGCCACAAAGTAGAGCCATGTTTGTTGAATGCCTTTTGGCCTGGAAAATGATATCCATCAGCTGGGTAATAGATACCGTAAGGTGGGGCTATTTGAGACAGTGGGGCTATTTGAGACAGTATTTAAAATCGTTATAAAATAAAAACCGTTTGAAATTTATGCTTAATTTTTGCTCAGGCGAATTTACTGCTCGATTCCACACCTCCCTGAGCAAAAATATCACATAAAAATCAAACGCTCTTCATTTTATAGCGATTTTAAATACCGTCTCAAATAGCCCCACTGTCTCAAATAGCCCCACTTTACGGTAATAATAACACTTGTGTATCAATTCAGCTCAATTAGAAAATAGGAGCACAAGTCCAATATTACAATGCTGTTTTATGTATGTATGTATGTATGTATGTATGTATGTATGTATGTATTGACACCAAAAGCCTTCCACACATGGCGTGGCGATTACGGCTTTACAAGTATTAAGCGATTACAGCTTAGCAGGTGTCAATTCAATTTCCACACTAAAAAGCTGATTGGCATGCATATGAATTATGAAATGCTGCTTCACCATTATTTTGGCTTTGATTTGTGGACGGGTAACAGGTTCAAAGAAAGATATATCAGCAAGGATTAAATAAAGGATCATTTTTTGAAACACATCCCTCAAATATCTAGCAATATACATATCTGATAGATCAAAGAGCTATGACTGGGAAGTGGGAGGGCTTTTGGGCATGAAACTAGTGACAGAAGGATAACAATAGAACACGTTTATTCAATTAGGTAGGTAATGCTCTTATAACTAAGTGCCATAATAATTTCCATATTCTGACTGCAGGGACAAGACAAAAAAATTTCACATACAAATACTTGTAATACCAAGTTTTCTAATCATCATTGATCATTATTGATTCATTATCATCATAAGAAATATCCTAGAGTAGGTATCTCTACCTACTTCTGAAGTTCTCATCAGTAGCCTTTCAACTACACAAATTTACCATTCAGATATGAATAGCATTTTCTCTTAAGCCCATAGGCAGCAGAATGGGGAGGGCACCAGGGTAACATGCCCTCCTTTGATCTAGGCATTCTAACATCAGTCCTATGGGCATTGCATGGAAAGGATGAGGCCAAAAGTCGGCAGCCCCAACTTAATTGAAGGTGTTCTGCCATTACTGCTTAAGCCTGAGTTATATAAATTAATTGAACAATATAACTTCAGATAAGGGCCAGTGGGAATTTCTAGAATGTATCGTACAGGGCTAAACTACAGCTGCGCTCAAGTCTTACAGTAATTTAGCTATTATCTGTACAGTAGGTATACAAAATAAGTCCTCTCCGTATCCGGGCAGGTGTCGCCTGAGTAGCACTCAGGCGCTAACTGCCCACTGGTGAACCACATATGACGGGGACTTATTTTGTAGACCTATGATTTCTCTTTAAATTTTAACCTCTATGTTTGAATGAATGGATGGCATGGCCAGAGCCAGCAAATCAAAATGGGCTACCAGGGGCCGTATTCACGTCGATCATTTTCGTAAGAATTTTCTTAAGTTTGGCCTACTTCTTAAGTAAATTTTTTTATTCACGTGAACTCCGTCGATAACAACTTAAGAAGTGTCGACGTGAATACCAAATTATACTTACGAAGGAAAACTGACTTACGAAGTCTACGTGAATACGGCCCCAGGCCCTTAACCCCTTCAAAAGTTTCAGTTTGGACTGCTTGGAGCTAGGGCAGGAGCTATCACTCATCAGAAAAACATGGATACAATGCAAAATTAAACCATGCCCATCCAAGCTAGAATCAGTGCAGCCTACCAAACTTCCTTTTGCTTTTATGGAAGTCAGAGAAGACAAAATAATTCAAATTGGATATATAATCAATAGCCAGTCAGGCTGTGATTCTGATTCTTTTGCTGGACCTCCTCCAGATCAATTGAATGAAAACTGAGCGCAGCCAAAACTTATTTCAATTTCAGAGTTATCATTTCCAAGTAAAATATGTGTAATTTACTTCTTTGTCAGTGAACAAGCTTAATTACTGCAATGGTAATTAAAAAACAAATGAGTAATTATCAATTACCTACACTACTCCTAAGACACAGTCACGGAAATGTGTCATTCGTGCGTCGTTACTGCCTTTAGAAATTGCTGCCAACTTTTCCTGGAGAAAGAAATCGACCACAATTCATTTTGTTTGCACTAAATAGCTTGAGTGATACCCATAAAAGTGATACCTATTCATCATCATCATCATCATCATCATGTATTCGTATGGCATCCGTTATTATTCAAAGTGTCATTGAAAATATGATGCCTACAGTAAATTCGTGCTCACGAACATTATTCCCATATCATCCGAGATATGGGTGAATCATTTTGTGAATATTCACCAGCCTGAGAAAATGATAACATGGGTCATAACATCAAAAATGGCTTCCTGTATTTACCTCACCTAGCGAGAGGTTTTAAAGCATCAATAAAATTATGAACTCCTTTAATTTTTTTTTGAAACAAAAAGTTTCATATTTTACATTTTACTAGGCCCAGCTGCTACATCAAAGTAAATATCAATATACGCACAGTTACACGAACGTCATTGCCATTTGGTAGCTTAGCTGCGTCGGTTTCGAAACTGCGCCAACATTGTATTGTTCTATGTTGTGAATGTATGCTGGTGAGCGTGGTAGTTAAATCATTTTTAAGAGGTAATAACGCTCATTTTTCTTGTTTCTTTGAGTTGGTTACTTGGGTAAATAAGGGTATCTTTACCTTATACTTTAAAGTTTCATTTCTGCCTTCTTTATTGATGCGAGAGCTACAGGCGGATAAATATGGTCTTTCCCTGTGCAATAAAAAATCTTTTATTTGCTATGTAAATAACTATTTTTAGGTAGGAGCCCAATCTATAGGCCAGGTTCAATTTGTATCTGTCTTATGCCATTGAGGCATTTCTGAATTAAGAGGAATGGTAACTTGGGGTTGCACCTTACTGAGTTATCAGTTATGGCATGCTGTCCGAGGCTATTCGACATTGTTCTTGGCCTGCTGTGTTCTTGCAATGGGAAGTAACTTGGTAGAGTTCTTGGCTTATTATTGGTGAATTATACACCCATGTAAATTTCACCTATGAGAGCTGTGAAGCAAGAGCAGGCTGGTAGCTTTCTGGGCTATTTCAGTCCATGACGCTTCCTTATGCTACCAGGTATTGATGTTGGTATTTATTTACTTAAGGACTGATTACCAATTTATTTTCACTGCCATCTTCAAGTAAGAAGCAAATCACATTTTATCCTTTGATCTCCTGATATCATATCTGAAAAATTATAAGTATCAATGGCACAAACAAGTTTAAAAGCACCAATACAATATGGAAAGTAACATTACATTGCTCATGGCAAAGCAGTGCAGTGCCAAAGGCAATGCCTTAGGAGATATAACAGACAATGACTGATGGCAAGTCAAATATTTTTATGTTAAGTGGTTTTGCATCTGGCTTCAGGCCAAAGGCCCAAAGCCTGATCCACAGCCACTTAACCTAAAAATATTTGACTTATTGCTTGCAATCTATTCATGTGAGTAACATCTTCCTTATCCACAGGTAGGCAAATATCAGTAGGTCAGGTTAGGTAAGGTTTGGTTATGTATCTTTGTTGATATCTTGGTGACATCAGACCATCTAAGTATCATATCTGTATTCGAATCGTCGAATTATGTGGCTAGTAATCACTTTGCCAGAAATGTCAAGGCCCTACAAATCGGCGTGTTAGAAGAAGGAGCTGTTGCACTTCCTGCACGTCTGCACGCTGCATGCTGCATCAACGAGGAGGCTGAGGAGCTGCACGCTGCTTCACCTGGTGCAAGCTGCTGCACCCCGCTTGCCTGCATCACCTGTTTGGGAGTAAGCAACTGGCAGCTCAAAGTTAGTCCTACTTCCTGCACTGCCTACTTGCACTTCTTGCCCTTGCTGTACTGGTGCTTTACTTACTGTCTGTTTGGCATGACACAAACACAAAGCTGCTTTGGTTCCTCTTGCTGACCACTCAAGCTGTCTGTGGAACATTGGTCCCACTTGCTGACCGCGCGGCCCGTCTGGTGCATTCGTCCCGCTTGCTGACTGTGCGGACTGTTGGTCCCTCTTGCTGACCGCGCAAGCTGTCTGTGGTACATTGGTCCCACTTGCTGGCCGCGCAGACCGTCTGGTGCATTGGTCCCGCCTGCTGACTGCGCGGCCCGTCTGGTGCATTCGTCCCACTTGCTGACTGTGCGGACTGTTGGTCCCTCTTGCTGACCGCGCAAGCTGTCTGTGGTACCTTGGTCCCTTTTGCTGACCGCACCTGTTTTCTGTGCTGCATTGGTCCCGCTTGCTGACCGCACAAACTGTTTGCTGCCTGATATGCTTCTGTGATTTTTCTCTTCTTGCACACTGTGTTTTTTTTTATTATTGTGTATAAGTGGGGCTTGGTTTGAGTTGGTGGTGATTCTGATTGGACTCAGAATTCTCTGCAATCTTCCATCATGCCACTCACACGCTCTCCCCCAGGAGCCTTGGTACTGGATCCGCTTGAAGCAGCCCCTGAACAACAGACACAGGGAGCAGTAGCGGCTGCAATCAGCTCCCTCCCACTTGACGCTGGTACAGCTGTGTCCCCGACTGTTACCAGACTAGCCCAGGGAATTGTGAGGAACAAGGCAATCTGTAGTGGGGGGCCGGGCGGTGCAACTTGTGGTTTGGAGGTGCGTGATGGCCAGCAGGGGGTTGAGTGCGACATATGTGGTGCCTGGTCCCATGCAGCCTGTCAGCGAATTTCCAAGGCAGCATATAATGCTCTCTCGAGACACTCATCTCTGGCATTCATTTGTGATGTTTGCCGACAGCGTCCAAACTTAAGTGACATCCAGGCAAAACCAGTCACAACTGATGCTTCAGTACAGGTCTTCCCAGATAAGCTTGAGCATCAGGACGACACACCGAAACAGACACGTGACGATGCAAACGCCTCACATGAGCGTCAAACCAAGGTTCCTGATTCTGTTTCTAGCCTTCAGGAAAGGATCCATGTGCTCGAGTCTTCTATCAAAGAACTGACTAAACTGGTAGGAGAGTCAAAGAAATCTATTGACATGATGCTCCAGGGACAGCAGCGACAGCAGCATGTGTCTCACCCCGTACATCGCGGAACCTATGCTGAAGCAGTCAGGTCTCCATCTGAGGTGCGCCCTCAGGTCCATGGAGACCCTCACCAGGCTGTCCTTGCTGGGGTCAACACTAGGGCCGGAAAGCCTCAGTACACATCCACAAGCAACGACTACAGACATATTGTCAGGGCAGAACTGCGTGAAATGGAGGAGAGGAGGAAAAGAGTTTCCTCCCTCGTTGTACGGGGACTGAGAGTGGGCACAGCTAGAGAGGCAGTGACTAGATTTACAGAAATCGCCTCCGCTCTGATAGGGGAACAGGTTGAGTTCACAGAAGTTTGCCGGATCAAAAGCGATGGTGACCTGTATAGGGGCAATGTTCACGACGGCAGAATTCGGAAGCTCATTTTGGATAATGCAAAACATCTTCGTGAGTCTTCGAACTCGCATGTCTTCATTCGTCGTGACCTCACGTTCCAGCAACGAGAGGAGCTCAGGGAACGCCAGAGCTCTAGGCCACACGTCTGGGTACAGTCCAGGTCTCAGAATGCAACTTCTCACTGGCAGATTGGCCAAACACGACACACACCCGAGGCAGACACTTCCCACTCTTATCATGAAACTGTTCCTAAGCAGGTGGCATCTTACCATGAAACTGTCCCCAAGCAGGTGGTACCTGCTCCTAACCCGACACTGGAGTCCGCTCAGTCTCCTCGTGTTGTGACAGCCCCGGATGCTCACCCTCCGGCTGACAGCGCTGGGGGGAGGGGAGACGGCCAGCACGTCCCCAGCTCTCCTCAGGGGCCCGGGGAGGGAAACTGATACGAGGCAGAGGTACTCCACGGACGTTCCGCCTACAACTAGTGCATTGCAATGTAAACGGCATTTGTAGCAAGCTTTCAATCATTCGTGAATCTCTGGTAAACTCGTTTAGACCTGGCATTCTATTGATCACAGAGTCCCATCTTACTCCTTCTGTGTCTAATGCAACTGTCTCCATCCCTGGCTATGAGCTACTGCGAAACGACTCTGGTGCCACATCTAAGCATGGCGTTTGCGCTTTTGTGGAAGAGGCCTTGAGATTTGATGAAGTAGATACAACACACCCTAACTGCCTGTCATTTAGACTGAGAAAGATGAACGTTCACATTTACGTGGTGTATCGACCCCCTTCATACTCTTCTTGCGAGAACCAGGCTTTAACTGATTTTCTTTTGACTAGTTGCACTGGGAAGGAAGTAGTCATTCTCGGAGATTTTAACCTCCCCTCGGTTGCCTGGATTGACCATAAACCCTGTGGGCAATTCTCAGCAGCTGATCGGACATTTGTTGACATGTTCATTGCCCTCGGACTTACGCAGTGGATACATGAGACCACGTTCCCGAGGTCTGGCAACGTTCTAGATCTTATTCTAACCTCCGAGCAGGACAGGATAACTACAGTACAAGTGCAGCCTCCCCCACCCGGATGCGATCACTGTAGTATTCACTGTGAGTATGTATTCGACATGGACATTCAGTTACACTCGCAACAACTCCTGAGACACCAGTGGCATCGAGGACAGTATAGTGCTATCAATGCATCTCTCAGCACTGTTGACTGGGACTTTGAGCTCAGACATATCTCCGCGCAAGACGCTTTTGTTAAGCTGCTGTCTATCTTAGAGCCCCTCGTTGACCAGTTCATTCCGCGAGCCGGTCAGGGTGGTGGGCAGCGGAAGATCCCCTGGAAGGCGAATCCCCCATCGTCGCTGAAACGTCTGCGAAAGGAGGCTTGGAAAAAATACAAAAGCCTTAGGTCAGAACATGGTAGGAAGTCGCATCTGACCACCCTGGCGCTGGAAGGTTTTCAGCAGGCCAACTCGCAACTTAGATCATTTGCCGCATCATCGCAAATTGAGTACGAGAAATCACTCATAGCAAGGTCTAGAGATAATCCCAAGCTGCTACACTCTTACATTAGACACAAGAAGCAGCTTCGCTCTTCAGTTGGTCCTCTTCGTCTCGACCCTGATACCATATCTGACGACCCCAAGGAGATGGCTGACTGCTTTTTGCATGTGTTTACTGGCATACACGCTACGACGATTCCAGATAAACCAGCTGCTCACCAGCGAAGTGATACTGTCATGGCTGACATTGACATTAGCCTAATTGACGTACATTCTACGCTCAGTAGCCTTGATCCGAACTCAGCAATGGGTCAGGACGGCTTGCACCCAGCCCTGCTTAAGGCATGTGCTGCAACTTTATGCACACCACTTCTCATGATTTACAGGCAGTCTCTTCTGGAGGGAGCGCTGCCCTCGGCGTGGAAATCCTCGCTCGTCGTACCGATACTTAAGAAGGGTTCTCGTAACGACCCAATGAACTACAGACCAGTATCGCTCACGTCTGTATCTTGCAAAAGTCTTGAAAGGATAATTTCCAAAGAGCTCTACGCATTCTTCATTGCAAATCAGATCCTCAGTGACGAACAGTTCGGCTTTCGTCCAGGACGATCCACGGAAGACCAGCTACTCCTGACCTACGATGAGGTAACTGTAGCCTTAGATCTGGGCCATCCCGTTGATCTAGTTCTGTTCGACTTTTCAAAGGCTTTTGATGTGGTGCGCCATACCATTCTTCTAGAAAAACTCAGGTTAGTCGGTGTCCAAGGGCGACTTATCACATGGCTGACAGATTTCTTGGTGGGGCGTACGATGCAGGTTCTTGTTAAGGGCACCACGAGTTCAGCTGCGGAGGTTCGGAGTGGCGTTCCTCAGGGATCGGTTTTAGGACCCATTCTTTTTCTGGTTTACATCAACCACGTTGCGTCCAGTTTGTCGTGCAGTTATAAGATCTTTGCTGACGATCTTAAAGTATTTATCAAACTAGACAACGATAAACACAACACCAGTGAAGAGGCGCTACAAAAGGATATAGACTTGCTCCACTCTACGGCAGAGTCTTGGGGTCTCAGCATGAACCTCAGGAAGTGCGCCGTCATACGATTTAGGCGACGATTCCATGACTTCGAGCCCCGTGCATACACACTGGCTGGTGACACAATTCCCTGCGTTACGTCATGTAGTGACCTGGGTGTTATCATCGACAACGAGATGAAATTCCATGAACACTGTGCCAGCATAGCAGCGAAGGCTGGAGGAGTTGCTCACAATTTCTTGAAATCGACCAGGTGTCGCTCGCCTGACTTTATGACTCATATACTGAAATCTCACATTCGCCCCATTCTCGAGTACGCGTCACCGATCTGGAACAGTGGCTATGTACAGGATCTCAAAAGATTAGAGTCTGTTCAAAGGCTCTGGACTCGCAATGTGATTGGGCTCCGCAATATGGAATATGGTGATCGCCTAAAGGAACTTGACCTATTCTCTGTGAAGGGACGCCTCCTTCGAGCCGATATTATCAAATGCTGGAAGATTTTTCACGGCCACAGTAAGATATCCCCGGAGATCCTCTGGGATCTGGAGGCCGACAACAGAACGCGCGGGCATAGTAGAAAGATAAAAACGTGTCGGAGTCTTATAGATGCAAGGTCACGGTTTTTCACCCACAGAGTCGTGCGCGATTGGAATGCCCTCCCAGATTGGCTGGTGAACGAGGAGTCCCTGGTGCAGTTTAAAAAGGGACTGAAAGCCGCACTGGGCAGTAGATTGTACGAACACACAGGATAAGAGAAGGCAAACGATCCACATCTCATCCTTCATCCCCCCCCCCCCCAGGTAAGCGCCCCACCCTTCCCAAGTTGGGGCGGGGTTATACGCGCCTGGGCTACCTATCATATTCCGCCCTTACCCCCTAGGTAGCTGCTGCCCGCCCTTCTCGAGCTGGACCGGGTGGACTAACCTAGGTTACCTATCCTGACCTTTCCTTCCGAGAATGTATCACATTTCGGTACCCTCTTTTCTCATTTACATAATTGATCATCTTGTCTAGGATTCTGGCACTTAAAACACGCACCAGTTTTCTTTTTTCAGTGTTATACCAAATGCAGACGCACCATTCCAATTCCTTGCCTGAGGTCCAGCCATCTGCCCACCCAAGGAATTGGCGCGTCTCTGCACGCAATAGGTTTCCACTCCTTCCTTTACGAGCCAAGGTTGTGGAAACCTAACAGGTGAGTTTAACAGGTGAGTTTCTGTATTCAGGATATCAAAAAATGGAAGAATGTGTATATTTTTTTTGAAAAGGTCAGTCCTAAAGTAAATATTTATCTTGATATTCAAGTTGTATGGAAATTAAGTAAAAGTTGCAATTTTGTTTGTTTCCAGGGAAACTGAGCACCAATACCAGACATACTTGCAGGTATGTGGAAACAACATATCACAATGGCCCTGTCAAAAAGGAAAAATAGATGCCAAACAGCTGCATGTGGAAAGATGTCTGCCTGTTCAATGGCAATCCAAGCATTCAGATTTTATATTATATAGCGCTGTATGTGTAGTGTGCTTACGTATATCCATAAATGCATATGAAATCCAAATGCATATGAAATGCAAATCCATAAATGCAAAATGAGCCTGCTTATGAAGTTTTTGAGGTTAGCGATTGCAATGTCTATTTTAGTTTGATTCCATTGAAGCCTGAAAGGATGACTTGAAAAATTGTCACTGTATTATCTTACCATTGCACATTTTGCTTTGTGCCAAAAAAAATGTTACAGCCATGTCTCACAACAGGCCAATGAAAAGTGGAAAATTATTTTAAAAATTATCAAATCTAGCCTAGCATCTAATGTAGATCAGGTAGATAATATTTGGGTTGCAGGCTGTGGCAGAGGATAAGGCTGTTCATTGCCCACATCTGGGGGGGGGGGGGGGAGGGGGGAATGTGTCTCACAACTTCATAAGCTGTGTATCCTTCAAACACATGCATTGAGTTTGTTGATGTTGTTGAGCCTTTCAATGTTTTTCTTTGCAGTATCATGGGTATTCAGATAATAACTTATTTACTGTGACTGATCACCTTTTTGACATAAAAGAAAATACATTTTGTACCTTCTGCCTTATGTCTTACCCTGTGTCTTTTCATGTGTTTCAGGTAAATCATACAATATACAGGCTGTGTGCAGCCAGCTATGCATTTACAGTAGTTTGTAACCGCTCTCTGTCAAGTCTAAAAGTTACTCTGCATTTCTAACCCAGAGCTCAATTTGGACAACTGGGGACCAAATGATCACTGTTCAAGGAAGACATGGCGCGTAAGCGCTGTGAGCTCCTGCTGCTGCTGTTTTATACATCAGGTAAGTGGTGTATGGACAAGTGAGTTTCTCTGTGTGTCCCCCAACTCCTGCTGCCCACTTCTGTCAACTAAAAGTCAAATGCTGTGATGTCAGCGCACTACAATCACCAATAGCTCTCCCATGGCCTGAAGGCTGTCCAGTGTGTCTAGTGTGCTGTGTATCACTACCCATAGGCGCGGGAGCCGGGGGGGGGGGCAGTGGGGGCAGCTTGCCCCCCCCAACTCTGGGGCCGTGGGGGCGGTGCCCCCACAGCTTTGAGACGGAATACCACACTTTTTTTGCAAATGTTTTCTTTTTTTGTTGAAAAAGCCGAGGGGTGAAAAATAAGTGGCCTAAATCCGGTGAGAAAGCTAGATTTGGGGGTACCCTATGTTGATCTCTATTATGGTGTGCCCCCCCCCCCCCCCAGTCGGAAAGTAGTTCCCGCGCCCCTGTCACTACCATCCCTCAGTGTAGTTGATCTGTAGCCATTTTATCTGCAGAGCCCAGTAGCGTGATACAAACACCTATTAGGGCTACCAGCATTTCAGCTTTAATGTAAACAGAAACAAAGCAGGATACTAGAATGTGGCTCGACACCATCCAGGTAAATTAGCGAGATTTAGAGCCTGCTATTGTTGCGCCACCGAACGGGATAATTCTGATGTAACCAATTAACACGCCCTGCTATGAACACGGAACAACCCTCTGGCCAGGACAGGTCGTCAGACGTGAGACGAATGAAAGGCTGATTGATAATACCGATCGGCACATATTGCCAAAATTGGCACGCCAGGTAAACTATTTATCTTGTCATATATTTGTGCATTTACCAAAGTGTCCAAGTGAATTCTGCGCATTTTGCAATATGATAGCGACATTATTTGTAATGCATCATTCGACCATATTCACTGAGCAAGTTCTTCCAAATGAGACTGATCGTTCATTTGCGAATGGGTATACACTGGTGTATCGCATTTATTCCCTTGAAAAAAGTGAGGGAAAAATAAAAGGATGTAAGAGGTCAGCCTTACCTCGTATGCTGTTTATGGTGTCCAGGCAGAAGTGAATTGTTTCTTCTCTGCAGTTCCATATACATATTCAGTAGCTAACTCTAAAACAGCAGCAATGTGATAAAATTGCCTGAAATTGGCCGACTGAAGTTCACTTCGCGGCACACTCGGCGTTCGCCGCGTGACCAACTCCACTGACCGCACTGGGAGAGATCAGCGCTCCAGCGACTCGACCGTCCCGGGCGCTAGTCTGTTCGGCGGCGACCAATCAGCTGGCGGCCGACCTGACCCCTGACCCGGCCGCCCCGGGCGCTAGACCGATCGACCCGCCAATCAGCTGGCATCTGGCGGCCAGAAGCAGGAGGTCGGTACGACCTTGAGGGTCTGAAATTCTCGAGGGGCTGTTAATGTTTCACGTTTTTCCGTGTGAATTACGCGTTCCATGAACAGCTGATCCGTAATTGCCCATCTTAGTTGCGCATCGATAATTTTGCTTCAAGCATATTGGCTTTATTAAGAGTTCCAGCAGTCTGGATCTGCGCACCAGTCTGAATATTTGTGTGCTTTACAGTCTAGTGTATTTGATGCATTGCATCTCCATTATCGTTTGTTTTGACGTGGTGATTCGCGCTGTTTGACGTTTGCGCGTTTTCCAAAAGTCAACATTATCGACAGTGCGTCGGCTGGGTACGGCTGTCCGTCTGGTCAGGATTCCGGCCGTGTTAGTCCGTGTTGTCCTGTTGTGACGTGTGTCAGGACATGACTCCCGACTCCGTCCGCACAGGCTGCTGCAGTACGAGTCTGTGCTGTGCTGCTCTGATTCTGACATACCTTGTGCCCTCTGTTCGCACAGGCTCTTGCCGACTGGCCGGTGAACGGCCGCCGGCACCGGCATGACCGAGAGTCGACTGGACGTGAGCGGCGGCGGGCCGGCCGCCAAACGGCCGCGCCTCGCCAGCCCCGGCCCGACCGCGCGGCTCGACGACCCGCTGGCGGCGCTGCACGAGCGCGCCCAGCTGGGCTGCCTGTGCCCGCTGCCGGCCGCGCAGCTGACGGCTCTGACGGCGCAGCTGTCGGCCGCCGACAGCCGCCGGCAGGTGCTGGCGCTCAGCACGCTGCAGCTGCTACAGGAGGCGGCGCTGCAGCAGCTGCGGCTGGGCAGCATGTGCCGGCAGCTGCAGCGCGCCGTCTGCGCCCAGCGGCAGGCGGACGGGCCGCTGCTGGAGGCGCTGCTGGCTCTGCTCGCCTCGGGCACGGCACTCCTCAGCTGCGGCGCCGGCCGCTGTCTGACGCTGGCCGCTCTCCTGCTGCCGCCCGGCCGCGCTCAGAGACTGCTCGAGGCCCTGGTGGCCGCCGTGCTCGAGTCGGAACGGCAGCTCGAGGTGTGTCACGCGCTGAACGCGCTGCAGCGACTAATCGAGCAGCACGATCCGCCCGAGTCGGCGGCCGGCGGCGCCCGCCCGCTGCCGGCCGGCTGCGCGGCCATCAGCGTCGGCCCCGACCCGGAGACACTCTCCGAGATTAAATGTGCCATCACGGCGCTGCTGGAGAACCGCTGGGTGCCGGTGACACAGCGCTTCTGCCGGCTGCTGACGCGGCCCGCACACGAGACGGAGGTACTCGCCTTCCTCCGACTCTGGACAACCATCATCTCCGTGAAGAACAACCTCAGTATCGTGGAGACCAAGTCGTTCTACGGCCGACTGGAGGGCCTGATGAGCTCGCTAGGGGGTGATGCCTCTCCCCACGTGTGGCGAGCCGTGCTGGATCTTTACGCGGAGGTGCTCTGCTATGGCAGCACGATTGCGCTGCAGGACTGCGTGGCTGAGGAGCCAGCCGGACTGGCTCATGCGCTGTTACGACAAACGCGCGCTGGTCGGTTGCTAGAGGCGGTGCCTTACGAGCGTGGTGTGCGTGCGTTCGCGGGCAGCAGTAGCGGTAGCGCGGGCGGCAGCGGCGGCGATCGGCCCCTGATGCAGAAAACTGTGCTGCTCGTGCTCAAGGCACTGGCGGTGACGGTGAAGGAGACGCGATGTGAAAGCAGCAGCGAGGCGTCGGCGCGGTCCGCTGGCGGCTCCGGATCCGAGGAGCAGGACATGGTGATCATAGAGCGCACGCTGCGCGAGGTGGTGCGCCGGCTGGACGGCTGGGTGAAGGCGCGCCTGCCGTTCCACCCGGAGACGCCGATGAGCGAGTGGGCAGTGGTGCTGCTCTGTGACCAGGACGATTACCTGGTCGAGGCCATGGTGTGCCTGCTGGACCTCTGCGCCGGCCTGGCCGAGCGGGCGCGCGTGCAGCCTGACTTTGAGCGCGCCATCGACGCGCACCGGAGCTTCGTGCAGTTTCTGGGCACCGTGCGCCGGGACCACGACCTACTGCTCGATTTTCTCATCTCGAACGAGACCTGTTTCCTGCTCTACCTGCTGCGCTACCTCAAGTTCGTGCGGAAACATTGGGCGAGATTTCTGCGCGCGTGCGGCGCTAAGTTACAAGAGGTGATGGGTGTGCTGATTGGACTGCGCATTTCGCTACAGCAGCTCGTGGCTCGTGATCTGTTTCCGTACAACGTGACGCCGATCCTGAAGCTGCTAGAGCGGTGTGAGCAGCTGTACGAACATAATCCGGCGGCCGGATAGCGGTCGGACGGTATCTCGACGTCTCCCGTGTGCGTCCCGCATCGGCGGGCAGGCACCCCCATGCGCTCTCTTCTCCCGTCATCCGCGCAGCGCGCGGTCGCTCATTGGCTCAACTGGTTATTTATGGTCGCGGCGCTCTGCGCCCGTGCGGCGGCCCGGCCGGCTCGGGTTGGGTCTGACGCCGGTCCGGGCCCGCGCTCGCGGTCCGCCCACCGCCGCCCATCCCCCACTGCCGCTCTAATGACGCCATGTGGACGCACATGAATCTACGGCCGTTTTCGGCGAGACGGCGCTGATGTTTTTAATGCAATCTCTTGAATGTGTATTGTGTAATAGGTTGGTAAGCCATTTCGCAGTGTGGAGTAAGGCGTATGTGAAAGGAGATAGCCACAAAGGTATCGATTCCATCCGACATTTTATGTCGCAGCATTTCTTAAAGGCAACTTGAAAGATCTGTAAGGTAAGGGACGATGGGAACAAATGACGTTTCGGTGCCAACTACCGTTAGTTCTCTGTAAATTTGTCAAATGTTCATGTACGCTTTACGTTCGTTCCTACCCAGCTGGAAATCCAGCACATGACTGGAATTGTTTGTGAACATCCCAAATGTGTCTATTTTTAAATTGGACCCATGCTCGTATATAGGTGGTAGATGTTCACCTTTTTGTTTGTGGAGCGCAAGATGACATTTGTACTAGGTTCGTGTTGCAATGTTTTGTAAGTGGATCAAGGATCCTGCATTGATGTTTGTCTCTGAGACGCAATCATATTTTTCTTACATGAATACTGTGCACTTCGTCACGCGTCGAAAGCGTATTCCATCGAGATCAAACGTGTGAATACACTACAAACCATAATCAGTTTATGTTTGCCGGTTCCTCGGAGTAAGTCGTGGTCTTGATCAGAACGGTGTGGCGAAATCGGAGGGCTCACCAATTGCGCATTTTTTTTGTGTGTGTGTGCAATGAAGCTTTCTTGAAAATCAGAGAATTAAATCAGTCGCAAATAACAGCATGTGAATCACCAGTATGTTTTCCCCGAAGGAATGGTAATCCTCATACACCAGGGATTGATGGATTACTGGTCTCGGGCAGCGTTAGCAAAATTTCAGGGAACTCAGATTTGTTTTTCAATAGAAAAACACAATTCTAACGAAACATGTCCTAACTATCGAGCAGTAAACCCTCGGTTATGTCCCACCAATTAACGACATAGAAAACACGAGTTTGAACCGAATCTTGCCTTGCAATTACTGTCAAGGCTCCCAGGCCATGCCGTTTACAACGATTCATGTTGTCTATGATTTAGGAAATAAATAAATGATAGCTGAAGCTAAGTCATTTTGCCATTGCCGAGACGCAACTATTCACCAGGTAAGACAAGTTACAGGTTATTCGAGGAAGTTTGGCTGCGTCGATGCGCATAGAAAGATGGGATCAAGGCGATAAAATACCGATGGCATCAGCTTTGTGCGTCAGAGGTGCCATGCACGGAACACATCGTGACCAACTTCATTTGAAAACAAACGAAAGCTTTTTATGTTCTAGTAATCTTGCTTTTTTGCTTTTTTGGGCCATTTCGTTGTTCCATTTGTTTTGATGTGACGCAACGCCCTACATGATGTAACGTAAGTTTGTTTCATGAAGGCAATGAGTGTCTGAGTCTGAATCATTTTTCATTGCTTTTCCGCAGTGTCTGTGCGGCCTACAACCATGCATGAATGTAATGTGGTGTTTCCTTTACTTTGTCCACGCAGTTTTGTTTACAAATGCACTTGCTCAGACAAATGTGCGATCCTCAGAAGCCCCTTCAGATTCCTTGATCTGCGGATCACAGCCACCGAAAACTGCAAAAAGACTGGATTGCGAAGACTTGCACAAAGAAAATATGAACATCGCCCGATGCCCACATGCATTCCCCTTGTACATCAGGGGACAGTTGGAGGATATTTCCGCCACTAACGACGTTCACTTCGTTACTCTACGCACATCCCTGGAAATCAAATGGAACGCGTCTCATACATCGGTGTTGAATCCCTGCGCAAGGTCTGAAAATAGCTCGAATGGTGCTACAGAGTCGCGCCAGCCCACGTGGATACCGCAACTCTTCATATCTTCTTCACAGTCTGTTCATTCATTTCAGACTTCACCTGAAACAGATTCAGTAAAAATGAATGCTACCACGGGCTTCAGTGTTCGTCAGACACTATCAACGAAACTTTGGTGCGAAACGTCGTTGCAACGCTATCCTCTAGATGTGCATATATGCACATGGTATCTTGGTGCATTCCAGGCACAAAACTACTCAGTGGAGCTGCACTGGGACACGGGAGCGTTTTCAGTTGCCAATAGACATTTGACGTCAGGATTCAACGTGGCAGTTTCCTACAGACATCAGTCAGTCGTGCGCTACAAGTCACTAGGCTACAGGGAAGTTTCTCGCCTGTCCGTCGTTGTCAAAGTGTCCCGGAAAAGTTCGCACGCCGTCCTCCTGATCTTCGTTCCCGGCTTGTTCATGGTAATCATCGCTTGGATTTCCTTCTATCTTCCCGACGAGCTGGGCGAAGGTCGTGTGCTGCTCTCGTTCCTGAACCTGGTCTGCACAGTGCAGCTGCTGCGCCAGCTGAAGACGGTGCCACACTCGGGCGTCGTGCGCAGCATCGACGTCTGGATGCTCTCGGTGCTGACGTTCGTCTGGCTCTCAGTGGTAGCCTGCTTCCTGGACCTTCGGTACGCGTTCCGAGGCCTGGAGCGCGAACAGCAAGAGTCGGTAGACGACGTGCTATTCTTCTACCGGCAGCCGAAGCTGGCGAGACAGCTGGCCGATGAGAGCCACCGCGAGGAGCGGCAGCGCGCCACCCGGCGTCGCGGGGCGCTCACCACAGAGAACGCCCCGCGCCGCTTCAGTTTCGCCCGTCGTCGGTCCACGTCTCCGGCAGCGATGGCGGAGCGGCACGGGTTCGACATGGACCGGCTGCGGCGGCAGTCCACCTGGCACGGCGACGACCTCTTCTGGGACGCCGAGACGGGCGAGTCGCCCGCCGGCGAGCGCGTCGAGTGGTCCGAGTTCTACCAGTGGGCGCACGAGCGACACGCGGCCCGGCGGCGACCCGTCGAGGAGGAACTCGACGACGACGAAGGATCCCAGTGGAGCGTCCAGTCGCTTCTCAAGAGCATGTGGAGCATCCGCAAGGAGTACCGCTGGCTCACGTGGTCCGACTACGTGAAGAAGTGTGTCGAGATGATGTACCCGGTGTTCTTCTGTGTGTTCTGTGTGACGTTTTGGATCGTGTACGTGCACGACAGCTACCATGACGATGAGTCCTCTTCGACCGCTACCGAGGCGAAAGAAGATTATTTCACAGGTGTGTAGCCGCGAAAGCGGGTGCCTTATCTCGTGGATGACAATGGACGCAAGGTAGACTGCACCTGAAGGGTATCATACCAGCATTTAGGATTCAGATGCTCAATATTGACGGGTAATCGAGTCGATGAATACACCTTTAATGAGGACGGAGTCATGTTGAATGAGTGAACTTTGGAGTCACCAGAGGAAGACTTCCATTATGATTGAAGGTTTCGTAACTACCCACTGCAGGCCTCCTCGTCACAATGACAAACTACAAACTACAAAACTACAGCATGCTACAGCTAACGCATAAGACGAGGAATGCTTCCCATTAAACATGCATTTAGCTCGCACAGTGCCATAACACAAGTGTCTTGCTCTCTCTCCTCAGGGTGAAGTCACCTTTGTTACCAATGCTGGAAATAGTAGAAAAGACAAAAAGTGTCTTTTGAAATAACCTAGTGTTATCAAATGTTAAGCTACCCCGAATGCAAATAAATCTACCTGTCAATTAAAAAAAATAATTAAATAAGTTGCTGAATCTTAGTACCCAAAGGTCACTGCAATTGCAGATTTCTCTCTTTTCCTCCGAATATAAAAACTGTTTCTTTAATTATGAAAACGTATATTCATCATTCTACAAGCATGGTGGCCTACACGAACTCGAAAAAGGGCGACTGAAAGGTGGGGATGGGCCGACAAGCGTTATGCCACAAACATGCACCAAAAGCTTCTTCTTCACACACTAAACTCCGTGCGCCAACACTAAACTGCGCCGCAGCCGAAAATGAGACCGTCTCGGCCAGGAACGTTATCGCCATCACTGGGTGGGCACTGCCGACATACTGAACGCTCCGGCCGCCCAGGCCTCGGGCCAGTCAACGCACTAACAACACATTGCAACACATTGCAAGTGAACCACAGGACACGTGAGAAGTCCACTTAATCCGCTCACGACTCGGACTTACCAGTCCAACACATTTGTGAAATTCCACACTGGTAATGTTGCATAGGCCATCAGTCACAGGCAAGAACAAAGTGCACCCCAGGGAAGAAAGGAATAGGGAGGCACAAATAATTGCACATTGATTGTTGGGGCTCAATTTTGGTGAAAAGGAATATCTGGGACGAGAGATTACTCATTGCTAAGCATAGCCATTTCATTACACACTGCTTGATTAACATTAAGTAGCACAGTCTGTATTCTAAAATGCAAGGAAGCGGTTGATTTTCAGCCGAAAGCGAGGATTAACTACTGGAGCAATGTCAGCGGCACGTAATAGTGCCGATCCATGTGATAAACTTCCGAAAAGCGCCAAATTCTCACCCCCCGCCGCTCTGAGGGGACTGCTTTGTCTTTTGGCTACACATCATTTCCTCGTCTGTCTCCCCAACGGCACTTCTTCGTCACTCCTTTGACCTAATTCTCTCCTCTGCAGCCCTCACTCAGCGGAACGGCCAATCCCCCTGAACTGCAAATCCGCTGGAACGTTCATGGTACTCATTCCTCCCCCAAAATTCCTCTCAGAAAAGCATGACCATTTTAATGTTTCCCAGCTCAAAGACAATCAAGCTTTCACCCGTAGCTTGACAGCGACCCCGGTCCCTCCCGCAAGGAGCCCCACAACACAGCCTCTCTCCCCGTTCCCTCCTACCACTGTCATCCTCCGGCCAGCGGCCGCGCCCGACCTGCCAGGGAGCTCACGAGTGGTCGCCTCAGCGCCTGAAGTTGAAGTTGACCTGCAGCAGGTACTGAATGTGCGCCTGCGCCACATCGTACACGATGTACTCGTTGTAGAGCAGCGAGGTGTCCGAGGCCGTCGACTTGGTCGGCTTTCCCAGCGGAATCTCCACCTTCGTCTCGAGCAGGTGAGACTGAAAAAGGGCGATAGCGGCAGTCAGAACGGGTCGCACAAAAGACACCTTCGAATGTCGTACGAATAGTTAGTTCGTTTTTTTTTTCTGGTGATCGTAGATCGCAATACGGGAAGCATCAAAGTATTTGTTCCACACTGGGAAAAACTTGATAAAGCAAAACTATCGGGAAACTGAAATGTTCATGTTTTCGAAGAGAAATGTTCACGAAGGTTCATCCTATGTATAGATAGACGATCTTCTTCTTAAAACTACAAATTTTCCGACCGGTCGGAATAAAAGCTCATAGCATTAAAAGCTATGCTTAGTGCACCCCGAGTTTGGTAACACCTTCATTCAAAACAATTAAGCTGAATTTATACACCAAACTCGCCCAACAATAATCACGAATCATCACTTATTGTCCAACGTTTGATCAGATATCTTATATTGGTAGCTGATGATGACGATTTAGGATGACAACGAGGATATATCTCATGATCGGACCGATGACAAAATAACGTTTAGACTTAACAGCTTACCGTCAAACCGTCACCACAAACACACAGGGACCTACACCATCCGGATCGAGCGAGCGGACCTACGTGCCGAACAAAACACTCACCTCCTTCGGGTCGGGATGCGTCTTGCCCAG